CGAACTCCCGTCCCGCCCAATGTTGTGTCCTAGGAGCTTACCTTTGGAGACACAAACTTCGGCCTTACTGATCCCAAACGAGAACCCAAACAAGATTGACTTATCTAGGAAACCCTCTAAGGAAACGAGGTGGTCGAGGAGGTGCGGGCACGCCTTAGGGTGCCGGGCGCGCATATCTGCCGCGAGCTGCTCATAATAATAGTCCGTTGGAGGCTCCTCGATCATCTTATCGATGTCCCAGCTCTCCACGATATGATAGCTCGGGCAGCGCGCCGTGTCGACCGCGTCTGCTGGGCGCACAGCGTCACTTGCGCCTCTTTCAGCCGTGGCCGATCCCTCACGCCAGCCAGCCCAGCGTGGCCCCTTGCGCGTCCTAAAGACCGCGAGGCGTTCGGTGACGGGAACCTCATCGCTGCACGCAACGCTTTCCGCCACACGCAAATCCCTCGTGTCCCAAAGACGCCACGCCTCACCTGCGCGCTGAAGCAAGCACGTTTCGTAAGGCGCCTTCTCGACCGCCACGGTCCCAAGGTCCTTCTGCGCAGGGCGCCTACCCCACACAGACGCGTAACCACCTGGCGCCTCCCACCAGCTGTCGACGCTTGGAAGGTGGTCCAAGCAAGTAAGCACTCCAGGCTCCTCAACAGGGCGCCCAACCGGGCCGCTCCCGCCCCACACCGAAGCGAGAACAGTCACCGCAGCAAGGACCGATAGCACACCGATCCTGGCGCCGGTACGCAGCCGCCCAAAGGACCGCGCACACGAGGAACAACCTTGGAAGCTTCTTGCCGCGGCCCTGGACGCGGACCCGCAAGCAAAGCACGGGTCATGGTCAACCGAAGCAACGGCGACCCCACAATCCGCACATGCCTGCGGAGACGGCTCTGACTCGAACACCGTCTCAATCGCGCCACAACCACAAGCCGCAGTGCTGACGAGGCCGGAACGCACTTCCGCAACAACCTCGCCTGGCTGGAGAGAGTGATCACACTCTTGGGCTCACCCACTCTTGGGCGAGACCTGGCACAGCCTCAACCCCACACTCAACCGGAAGCACAACCTCGGACAGGGATCCCTCTGCGGAGACTCCTGACTCCCGCACGACTGGCACCAGCACCCCATCACCTGGCGAGAGCTCGAGCGGCTCTTCCCCGTCATAGCGGAGGAGCTCACGACTTCCGCCCCCAGGCTCGGTGCATGACGCGTCGTCCAGGCTTGACAACCGCGCTTCAAAGGCATAGGCCCTGTCCTTCCGAGTCCTACTGTGATCCTCACATCTGGGCATCCTGATTCCCAGCGTGTCGAGGACATGAAAGTCGGGACCCGGCCTGAATCCCAAGCCCATCCTTCCGGCGCAGTCCAGCGCTCTGCCGCCAAGGATAAGTCCGTGCCAATCGGACGTCCCTCTGGCTGCGAATTTACATCGCACAAAAATCTCGGTGTTGGGGCGACAATCGTCCGCCGTCTTGCCTTCCAGCAGCGTGACGCGCAAGACTGCTGCCCCTTTCAAAGGAACTGGGGCCCCCGATGCAATTCCATGCACATATTCGGGGCGGACCCACTTCTCAAGTCTCACGACCGGGAAGCCAGGATCCTCAGTGCCGATCCCAAGCTCTGCAGCCCGGTTCATCATGCCTACCACGAGTTCCTCAGTCACGTGGTTTGCGCCGGCGCAACCGTCAAGCATGCACTCGACCTTGCGGTCGAGGACCTGGACCACCGTTCTGTACTGGTGGCCTCCTGGCTCGTTGTCCGCCAGGTTCCACCAGTCCTTCGGCAGATCGTCCAAGGTGGCGAACTTGTCCCGCCCGCCCTTGCTTAACGGAAGCGCGTGCTGCTGCACCGCGGCGTGTCCTGCGGCTCCTAAGACGCCTGCCTGGACGCCTGAGCTGCCTATCTGGACACTGAACGCGGCGAAGGGGTCAGACATGGAAGCACCGGAGGGCGGGGCCCAGTTGGCAGGCAAGGCCGGCGTCCCTCCTGAGGTCGTCAGGTTGTGGACCATGTCGCAGCTGGCCCCTTTCTTGCACGACCCATTCTTGGAGAAAAAGGGGCAAACAGTGCCTGGTGGCTTTGCCGCGCCTTTGGCCGCAGCCTTAGGCTTTGCGTTGGCTTTTGCTTTGCCACCTCCCTTCCCTTTGCCTTTACCTTTCGCAGTGGCAAAGGTTTGGTCACCCTTCTTGGCCGCGAGAGCTTTTCTGCGAAGCTCCTTGTCGTGGCTGTACGGGCAGGCATCCCCTTTCGGGCAATTCCCATGATCGCGAAAGTGGAAGCAGATCTTCTTGTCCGCTCCTTTGCCAGCTCCCTTCGACGTAGCAGCATACGTCTGGTCCGCGCCAGCTTTGGCCGCGGCAGCTGCTCCTTTCGCAGCAGCCTTCGCAGCGGCCTTGAGACTCTTAATCTCCTTCTGAGCCTCAGCCAGCGCGACCGCCGGGTCCGCGCTCTGCGAACCGGTGGCCGTGTACACAGAGTGGGAAACAGCCCTGTGCGCTGCTTCTCTCTGCTCGTACTCCAGAACGACTTTGTGGCTCTCCTCCCAAGTCTGCGGTCCTCGCAACCCGCCATCCTTGGGGTCGCCAGGCCACAACCTTTTGTCGTTCCGGATCTCCTTTTGGAGATAAGGGGGCATCTTGCGGAGGTATGAGAGATACAACTCTCGAGGGGTCTTCCCGAGACCTACTGCCTCAAGGTCCGCGATCGAGGCCTCAAACAAAGGCTCGAATTGGTGGCCTGTGAGCTTACCCTTAGCGAGAGAGGCGTGCTCACCATCCACGCGGACTTCTCTTTCCTCCCGCGATTCCCCGAACATCAAGTGTTTGTTCTTGATGCGGTCATACACCGCCTGTGGATCTGAGAGAACCTCTCCCGATTTCCACGCTGCGCGGTACGCGTTCGTGTACGTCTTCATGCGCGAGCCGCGGCAGCGCCCGCGTAGCGCTAACAGCTTTTCGCGCGCACTCATACCGCGACAGTTGTTGGCCAGCGCGCAGACGTCCTCGAACTCCTCGTAGAACAGGACAACGTCTCGCGCGTCCGACTTGTCGTCGGTCAGCGTTGGCCACGTGAGGTCAGTTTTGACCGTAGTTATGGAGCTTTGCCCGCCCCTCTGCGCTAACGCTTCTTTCAGCGCCTCAGTTTGGGCGGCGAGTGCGGCGGCGAGATCGCCCGCCGGGTGTTGGGACCCGGTCTGCGAACCTCCGCCGTCTGAACCTCGCTTCACTTGGATGGGCCGGTGGTTTGCTTACCAGTTACATACACTAAGTAACTGGAATGTAAGTGTGCAGCAAGTGCATGGCAACCCCATGGGAAGTAGTTATAAGAAAGACAAGGGGGCTGAGGCAATTAGATAAGTTAGCTAACTATGTTAATTCAAGCTAAGAAAACTAAGCATTTAGGCTAACTGAAGCTAATGTTGGCTAAGTAGTTAGGCTAAAGCAAGTTAACTGGTTATGTCGGTTAACATAAACGATTAAGAGGCTTAAGTTAACTGGGTTAGAAGGGTTAAGTTAACTGGGTTAACTCGGTTGAGATAGAGGTGCAAGCTGATTATATATAGACTTTGTTTTTTTGTTTTTTTGGTTTTTCGGATTTTCCGTTTTCTCCTGCTGGGGGCATGTCGATGTATGTGTGCATGTGTGCATGTGTGTGTGTGTGTGTTTTGTGTGTGTGTGTGTGTGTGTGTGGGGGGGGGGGGGGGGGCAGGGCGACACGGAAATTCATTTTTTTTTGTGAGCATGCATGCATGCATGCATGGTCGCTTGCAGGGGTTGCATGTGAGCTTGCTTGTTTTGGCATGGTCGAGTTGGCGTGCTCTGATGTTGGCCCTTTTTTTGTTGATGCATGGCTTGCATGTGTGGTGATGCATGGCTTGAGGTGGCATGTGAGCCTGCTTGCTTTGGCGTGGTCGAGTTGGCATGCTCTTATGTTGGCATTGTTGTGTGATGCATGGCTTGCATGGGGTTGCATGTGAGCTTGCTTGTTTTGGCATGGTCGAGTTGGCATGCATGCTATCATGTTGGCATGTTTTTGTGATACATGACTTGGGATTGCATGTGAGCTTGCTTGTTTTGGCATGGTCGAGTTGGCATGCTCTTATGTTGGCATTTATTTTTGCTGCATGGCTTGGGGTTGCATGTGAGCTTGCTTGTTTTGGCATGGTCGAGTTGGCATGCATGCTATCATGTTGGCATGTTTTTGTGAAACATGACTTGGGATTGCATGTGAGCTTGCTTGTTTTGGCATGGTCGAGTTGGCATGCTCTTATGTTGGCATTTTTTTGTGATGCATGGCTTGGGGTTGCATGTGAGCTTGCTTGTTTTGGCATGGTCGAGTTGGCATGCATGCTATCATGTTGGCATGTTTTTGTGATACATGGCTTGGGATTGCATGTGAGCTTGCTTGTTTTGGCCTGGTCGAGTTGGCATGCTCTTATGTTGGCATTTTTTGTGACACATGGCTTGGGGTTGCATGTGAGCTTGCTTAGCTGGCATGCTCTCATGTTGGCATTTTTGTTGTGATGCATGGCTTGGTTCAGTTGCCGCTTGCACATGTCTTGGCATGCATGGTTGACTCAACATGTGGCATGCATGACTGTAGTGGCATGGCTTGCATTGGCATGCATGGCTTGCATTGGCATGGCTTGCATTGGCATGGCTTGCATTTGTATGGCTTGCATTGGCATGCTGTTGTTGCATGTTGTTGTTGCATGTTGTTGTTATTGTTGTTGTTGCATGTTGTGGTTGCATGTTGTTGTTTTGAGTGCATGGGTTGTGCGTGCTTGTCTGGTTGACATGGTTATGTATGTTTTGCTTGGATGCATTGGTGAAGTCAACATGACCTATATAGGCATGCTAGCTTGCTGCCACATGTCTCATGTAGTTTAATGTCGTCCGGCATGGCTTGCATGCAACATTGGAATTTGGAATCTGTCGTCGGGCAGCCTTTGGCTGAAGTGTTTAACTGGTTGGCCCGATCGACATAGTCGAAGCTTGGATCCAAGCATGGCCGTCACGACCGAGATCAGAAAGCGCGCCGAGGCTATCTTGAGCAGCAGCTCCGGTGTCAACTGCAAGCTGTCCGGCTTGAATGCCCTCTTCCTCGGGCATGGTTTGGCACGGTACGAGACAGTGCTGCCAGACAAGTTTTTGGTCCACCCTTGCAATCGTGGAGGCAGCATGGTTTCTGGGCACGATGTTAGCAGCAAAGGCGAGCAGCTTTTGAAACAGGGAGTTCGCATCGACTTGCTGGAGGCCTCTTCGGTTGCGATCAGCCTCTCGAAGGACAAGACTCAGAGAGCAGCACAGATCCAGGCGAACCAGAAGATTGCCGAGAACTTTTCCAACTTGGCCGAGCCCAATGGCAAGGAGACCTACCTGACACTTGGTTGCAGTCACTCCACGGCATTCCTGAAGAGCATCATGGCTGGGAAGGTGCCCAATCAGCACTGCAAGCTGGAAGGCCACCCCGTTCAGAAGTGCACGACCATCGGATGGAGGTGGTTGATTCTCGAGGATGTCGTGGCAGAAGAATGGCCGGAGCTGCCATTGACATATGCCAGCAGCCTGAACAGCTCGAATGCTGTCAAGGTCGACACGACCGAGCTGCAGACCCTGGCGACCCTGGCCAGGTTCCTGTCCCACGGCATGACAGTAGCCGACGCCAAGGTTCGGTGTCTGGAATCGCAGCCGGGGTGCATCGAGTACTTCGACACTGTTGTCCATTTTGGGACAGAGTTCTGTGGAGGCAAGTCTATGCCACTAGCTGGTTTCCTGACATCCTTTTGTGGTTGGGCTGCAAGAAGGCATGTGTGGACATGTCGCCATTTACATAAAGAAAGTGTGCATGTGTGTGTGTATCTCTGTGTGTGTGTGTGTGTTTTTGTTTGTTTGCTTGTGTGTGTGTGTGTGTCTGTTGATGGTGGCAAGGCCAGACCTACGGCGAGTCTGTCATGCTTGGGTCGGAGTTCATGAAGCATGTCACCTATGTGGACTACAAAGTTCCGGGCAATGTCTTTGTGTTTTGGCGGATCGCGTGTGTAGCCACACAGGTTACTTCCCCGAGGGTTGTGGACAAGGTTGCCCGCCTCTTGACCAAGAGCGACCTGGACAAGTTCAAACGGAACACTTCGTCTCTGCTTGAGGTGGAAGAGTTGCTGAGTCAAGGCTGGGAAACCCTGAAAGTCTCATCGTTGTCGCAGGATGCGAAGCACAAGGCCTTCGGTCGCTATTGTGTGCGGTTGGTTCTTTGGGTGACCGACAAGCAGAAGCAAGGTCGTGAAGCCCGAACTTGGGAGTCTGCCTCAGAGATCACGGCACAGTTTGGCCAGGACCTCCTTCCGGGGAGCGAGCATTCCACGGCAGCCACAGCAGCCAAGAGCAGTGAAAGCTCAGAGCCTCGCTTCCGGGACTTGCTGGGTGCCTCGAAGTCGGAGGTCGTCTTGCTTCAGAACCGGCACTTGAAGGCTGGCTCTGTCTACACGAACTCCAAGCATGGGAGTTCCTTGTTTCGTCTGGAGAAGTTAGATGAGGAGAAGGCAACCTTCGTTTGCTCACCCGTGATGCAGGATTCCTGGTCTGTCGAAGTGCCCTTGCAGGAGGACCTTGCCTCGTGGAAGATCACCAGAAAAGAGCTCCCTGAGGTCCTCGATGTTGCTGTTGCTTTGAAGCATGGCATCTCCCGGAGTACCTGGGTGCAAGAGTCCATCGACAAAGCCCAATCGCAGGTGGATCTCTTCCATGGCTGCCAGGCCTGCGAGCAGATGATCGACCAGATTCGTTTCGTGTCCGGTCAGGGTTTGTGTGCTGCTGCTGACTTGCCAGCAGCAACCCTTGTGTTGCCGTGCTATGGTTCCTTGTATGTGATCGACAAGCAGGTCACCTCCCTGACCTTTCGCTCCTTTGGCATCTCTGCCATGAAGGCGCCAGCCGACTGGACCAAGCTCGATTCCAAGTCGGTGCTCGTGCCGTTTTGGCACGTCAAAGCGACTGCCGACCATGAGTATGTCAACATGACCCTGCTGAAAAAGAAGCCTGGGCAAGACCTGATCCCGTGCTATGTGAACAGCAAGGCCTTGAAGAAAGGCGACTTTCTTTTCTGTGCAAGTGAGGCCCTGCTGTCGAAGCGAAAGGCCGGTGGAGTTTCTTCCACTGCAGCTCCTGTGAAACGATATCGTGACAAGCAGCTGCAGGTGTGAGCCGGGCACAGGACTGGCTGCAGCATGCTGTTTTGGCCAACACTTTTGAAGCATGCTGTCTTGCATCGACATTTTGGTTCGCATCCGGAAAAAATGGTGGCTTTGTGTGTATGCATGTATCCGTCTGTTCTTGCTTGCAAGTTCTGCCTTTCTTTCCGACAGCAGTCATGTTGGTGTGAATGTTGTGCATGCCTTCACCTTGGCTAGCAGCGACATCTAGGAGCCAGATCGGCAGTCCACACGTGCAAGCATGGAGCCTCACCGGGTTTCGATTCTCAAGTCCTACACGATCAGCCACCAGCAGCAGAAGATCCCGATTCCGGATGATTTGATCGTGGAAGACGAGCATGGCGATGCCTACTTGAAAATGGTTGCCAGCCACTATGCCATCGTTCGACTTGTTTGCCCGTGCCAGAAAAAGGACATGGGCAAGAATCCATCCCTTGCTTCGGCACCTCGCTTCCAGGAGTTTTGCAAGTTGGTGGACCAGGAGATTAAAAAAAAAATTGCAGGGCCTGAGCCGGAAGAGAAAAAACTCTTCGATGACTCCAAGAACAAGAAGAGGAAACGATCCCCTGTAGAACAGCTGCCGGACTCTCTGGTGGTGCAGGCCACGTTGACCGATGGATCTGAGGTGCAATGCTTAGGGTTTCCCGGGAGCAGATATTTGAAGACCCCGGCAGTGTTGCTGCAACCGGACAATTTGGAGTCGTTGCTTGTGTTTCTGAGAGAAGATTGTGATGACTGCAAGCATGCAGAGAAGAGGTCCTATGTGGCCAGTGGCAAGTATGCCAAAGATAAGAAGACTCAAGAGTAGTCACTGTACAGTGTTCCCTCTGCCTTGGCTGGTGCCTCTGGGGAGCGAGGCCGTGTCTGGTATTGCAGCCAAAAAGCAGCCTGTGTGGCAGTGCTAGTGTGTGACCTTGGCATGACCTTGACCGCATGGCATGTTTGTATTTGACCCTGGCATGCTCTTGGCATGAGCATGGCATGTTTGTGTTTCAGTTTGGTTTTTGTGTTTGCATGATCATGGCATGTTGGTCTCTGCATGGCCTTACCATGATCTTGACTGGAGAATGGCATGTTTGTGTTTGAGCTTGGTGTGCTCTTGGCATGCTCATGTAAACCCTGAACCCTAAAAACCCTATATAGACCCGAAACCCTATAAACCCATAAACCCTGCACCCGAAACCCTATAAACCGAATCCCTAAATCTTCATTTGGGTTGGCATGATCGATCCAAGGCGATTCACCAACATCATGCACGGGCCCTGGAAGAAGATGGACAGCATGGTCCGCGACCACATCGTCTTGAAGAGGATGGCGATCCAGGCCGACGAGGTGTTGGACCCGGCCGAGTGCTACATATTTTATGTTGCACAGGGCTTTTTTGTGGTGGCATCGGCGGTGGTCACGAGCGAGGACAGGGATGCATGGGAGGGCATCGAGGTCTTGGCTCGCATCGAGGTTGGCCAGGACGACAAACCGTGTGGCCAGGTGCATCGGCCATGGCATGGCAACAACCCTCGCCAGGTCTGGGCCCAAGGAAGCTGCACGCTTATGCGTGACATGTTCACGAGCTTCGTGCAGAAGGCCCATGCCTCCGAGTCTCTCATGCTCTCCCGCCTTGAAGACCGGGATGCGAAGATCAAGGAACAGGAGGCCCTCATCGCCCAGCTGAGGGACCAGGTGGAGCAGTGCGAGCTGGAGATCCATGACTTGAAGCATGTTCCTTGGCATGTCTTGTGGTGTCGTCCTTGCATGTTGTTTGTTTGCTTGCCGCTGGCTGGTTGCCTACAGCTATATCCCTGACAGGCCAAAGCCACAGAGCCACCGTCTTCATCTTCCTGGCCCACCAGTGTGAATCGACCTCCGCCAGCAGTAAGGTCGAGTGTGGCTGGACCGGCTGGGATGTGGTCGCCGGCAGCTTCGGCAGTGCCGGGGGCTATGGCTGGGATGTCATCGGCGACTACCGCAGCAGCTCCTGCTGCAATGGTGGGGACTGTGGCTGGGACGTGGGGGACTTTGGCCGGGGTGTCATCGGCAGCTACGAGGCCTCCTGCTGCACTGGCGGGGACTGTGGCTGGGACGTCATGGCCGGCTGGTCCAACTCCAACACCTCCAACACCACCTCCGGTGCCGCCACCACGGCCGCCACCGGTCCCTGGTGCAAGCTCTGGGCCAGCGAAAGGCGGCCTGTGGCGATGAGGGCGCCTGACACCCTCGCCGAGATCGTGCCTCTTCCATGAAAAAAGAGGTCACTTGTGCCCAACCTCCCGAGCCCGACCTTCGCAGCCCAATGCCTCTGAGAACCCAAACGTCGACCGGCCCGACAAACCCCAAACCTGGAACGAAACCCTACACCCTAAACCCTAAACCGTTACCCCTTTCCGAAACCTCAAGCCTTCTGAACCCCAAACCGTTCTACTTATAAACCCTTTACAAAGGCCCCGAGCCTTGTGAACCCCGAGCCTTTGGACAAAAACCCTAAACCCTTTATACAGGGCCCAACCCTTCTGAACCCCGAGCCTTTGTACAAAAACAATAACCCTTTATGAGGGCCCCAACCCTTGGGAATCCCCAGCTTTGCACTAAAACCCGATGAAGGTCCATAAACCCTACACCCTACACCCTACATCCGAAACCCTAAACCCTAAATCCTAAACCCTAAATCCTAAACCCTAAACCCTAAACCCTAAACCCTAAACCCTATGAATTTCCAGCCTTGTACTAAAACCCTAAACCCTTGTGAACCCGAACCTTCGTTCTCAACCCGACACACTGTGTCTCAACACTCTTCCTCCTGAAACACCGACACCGACAACTAAACCCTTGGCCCTAAAACCCGTATTAAAGGCCCCAAGTTTGGGGCCTGCAGGGCCTAAGACAAAGGGGATTCATTCAAGGTTCATAGTGTTCATGCAGGGTGCCTCTCCCGAAGCACCCGATCCCCACATGCAGTCGCTTGTTCGTCTTGGCATGGTGCACGTTGCATGGTTGCTGAATTGTTTGTTGCCGGACAGCAGCCCTTTGGAGCAGCATGCAGTGTAGCAGACAACATGAGTCATGCTCTTTGTAGACATGCAAGGTAGCTGCTCAAGGCTTTTGCGGTAGACACTACTAGTACACTACTGCAATAACAACTAGTACTACTGCTACGAGTACTACGCCTACTGCTACTAGTCGTACTACAAACTAGTAGTAGTACTATTAGGTACTAGTACTACGAAACCCTAAGCCTTACATCCTAAACCCTAAACCTTAAACCCTAACCCTAAACCCTGAACCTTGCATCTTAGACAAGATTTGAGAAAGTTTCACCTCGGTGAGGGGTCATGGCAGAATCCGATGAGGTGGTGTGGGCGAAGTCTCGCGAGGAGATATGGTGGTACGTCCACCCGCCGGCTGGCAGGACCTGCGATGTCATGCTCTATTTCGGGCCGGAAGTTCCGGGAGATGAGCACCTCGGTCTGCACCGGGTATTATTTTGTTGTTGTCTGTTAAACCTTAACCCTAAACCTTGAATCCAAAACTGTATTATCCAGCATGGGATGACGTTGATGCATGATCTTGTTCCTTGCATGGTCTGTAGATTGAGCATGAGCATGTTGTCTGCATGGCTTGCATGGGCTTGTTTCGGCATGGGTTGCCGTTTGTGCATGACCTTAATTTTGGCACGCTTTCTGGGTTGTGCTTGAGCATGTGATGCGCATGCTTTGCATTTTGTGTGCATGTTGTGTGGCTGCATGTCATGGACT